GACACGTTTCTGTGAAAGAGAAGGCGAAAGGGTTTGTTTGGCTGTAGAAACCAAAAACAGCCCCGATTGCCTGCCTTGTTAGCTTTTTATTGTAACAACAGCTTGAACTAAAATTAACCTTTAGATACAATCAGCAGGGTAAGTATCCTTGAGAAAGCGTATGCTTCTACAAGGTTGGGGCTTAAAGACTAAACATAGAGATTCTAGCAAAACACCTGGGGGATCGGACTTGTTTGGAAAAGTCAAGGTAGGGGCTGCCACCTTCGGCAAGTTCCCCCCAGACGCCCCCGACCTTTCAGAGAATCCTCCTTACAGACATTCCAACCAAGTCCTGTGCTTCCCCACACATGTGGAATCTAAAAAACAAAAGAAAGGAACAAACAAACAGAAACAAACTTATAGCTACAGAGAACTGATGGTTGCTAGATGGGAGGGGATTAGAGAGGATGGTGAAGTAGGTGAAGGGATTGAGTACAGATTGGGGAGAACCAAGATGGTGGTGTGGGTAAATGCCGGAACTCACAGCCTCTCACAACCACACTAAAATTACAAGTAAAATACAGAACAACTATCATTCAGAACCTGGCTGAATGGAGGTCCTACAACTAGAGAAGTAAAGAAGAAAGTACATGGAGACTGGTAGGAGGGGGCGGAGGCTCAGAATGGGCTGGTCTGACACCCACCTGTGGTGGTTTTTTAATTGGGAGGGATATCTCCAAGGCCGCTTGTGAGAAGCAGGGGTCCCAAGCCCCACATCAGACCCTCAGCCCAGGGTCCCAGAGCTGGGAAGAGAAGTCCTTGTAACTTCAGGCTTTAAAAACCTGTGGAGATTGTGGCTGAGTGACACAGAGGCTGCTGGAGATCCAGGCAGTTCCTCTTAAAGGGCTGGCACACAAACTTACACGGTCCTGCTTCCTCAGAGCTCTAGTCCCAGCGGGGGCTCTGGGGGATCCAGGACATATGGGGAGGAACTGGATAGTCTGGCATTGGTGCAAGAACTCGGGATCAGCTTTCTCCCAGATGGGGGGTGCTCACAGGGGTTATTGTTCCTGTGCTGGGACCTCCCCCATCACAGAGCTGACTGGCAGCCATATCTGAGTCTCCATCCACCTGGCCCACACTGTTCGCTCCATCCTGGTGATTCCCTGAGACCACACCCCATCCTATGTACAGCCCTACTCAAGCTGTTTGCAGCAGTTTTTCCATGTGAATGACCTGTCCTGGCTCAGGCCTCAGACTTTGCTTAAATCTCTCAAACAAGCAGTAGCTGGCATCATTGTGCCCCAAACCTATTAATAAAAGGCCTAAGACCTGGCACTAGCACCAGCCTGCCTTGCTTCACAGCTGGGCCTTGCATGGGCACTTCCTAGCCCAATACAGGTAGCAGGCATCTGCAGATCTCTTTGTAGCTCCTGCCAGGTGGTCCTAGGACAGCAGTTCTCAACCTGTGGGTCGCGACCCCTTTGGCGGTCAAACGACACTTTCACAGGGGTTGCCTAAGACCATCCTGCATACCAGATATTTACAATACGATTCATAACAGTAGCAACATTACAGTTATGAAGTAGCAACAAAAATAATTTTATGGTTGAGTCACAACATGAGGAACTGTATTTAAAGGGCCAGAAGGTTGAGAACCACTGTCCTAGGCAGTGGCTAACTTTGTACCTCCTGGGAGGCCCCAGAGCCAGTGCACCCGGTGGACAGCTTCAGACCATACCAGATTACAACTCTACACATCCACAAATGACACACTCAGGGGCAGACTCAGTGCGCACCAAAGCCCCATGAAGCAAGTCCTGCTCTATAGGGGCGTCTCCTGCACACCAGCTCTTCCACTGTAGTTGCAGCTGGTCCTCACAGCCAATTGGCTGGAGGTCAACTCTTCCCAGTGACGCCAACAGCAATCAAGGCTCAACTACAATAAGACTGTGTACACAGTCCACACAGGGACACACCTACAGTGCCCAAGGCCACTTTACCAATTCCAGTACACATAGCAGCTCTACCTAATACATAGAAACAAACACAGGGAAGCAACTAAAATGTGGTGACAAAGAAACGTCACAAATGAAAGAACTGGAAGCAAGCAAACTACTACTGGATATAGAGTTCAAAATAATGGTTATAAGGTTACTCAAGGATCTGAATGAAAGCTTCAAGGGACTTAGTGAGACGTTTAAGAATCTTAATGAGAATGTCAAAGACATGAAAAAGGACCAGTTAGAAATTAAGCATGCACTACCTGAAATAAAGCATAATTTACAGTGCTTCCATAGTAGAGTAGAGGATTCCAAGAATCAAATCAACAACTTGGAATACGAGGAAGCAAAAAATACCCAATCAGGAGAGCAAAAAGAATCCAAAAATATGAAGATAGTGTAAGGCAAGCATGTCAAACTCACGGCCCATTGGCCGCATGTGGCCCACAACGAATATTTATGCGGCCCAGCCAATATAACGGTATGTAAGAAACATTTTAATAAAAATTTTGTAACTTAATTTTTACAATATCCTGTTATACATAATTATTTTTTAAAATATATTTTATTAATTTTTTACAGAGAGGAAGGGAGAGGGATGGAGAGTTAGAAACATCGATGAGAGAGAAACATCGATCAGCTGCCTCCCGCACATCTCCTACTGGTGATGTGCCCGCAACCAAGGTACATGCCCTTGACCAGAATCGAACCCGGGACCTCTCAGTCCGCAGGCCAACGCTCTATCCACTGAGCCAAACTGGTTTCGGCATGTTATACATAATTATTAATAACGAACTACAACATTTGCTAATGACTGATTACTAGAATCATGTTGCATTCATTTTCCTTACTCGCCTTATGCGCAGACGCACCATTTCTCTCCACTAATACTAGCAGTGAATAGTTTAGCAGTTGATTGCCATGTCATTAGTCTTGTACTGACTTGTTTAGTGTGCACAACAGGAAATATTTCGCTTTTGGAGAACAAGAAAAATAGGTTTATTTGTGTTACGCTTATTAATTTGTGCAGTTATTCAGTGTCTGGTAAGTTAATGTTTAAGAAAAAATTAATTTTTATTAAAATGTTCTATTATTTTATGTTAATGTTATTCATTTATTTCAGCCCTTTGTATTTAGCATGTCTCTATTGAAATAAGCCCATGTTTCTATGAAAATTGAAGCTTTTGTTTTTTTGCGGCCCACATCAACTTAAACTTTATTTGGCCTGTGTTAGCCTTTGAGTGTGACATGCTTGGTGTAAGGAGCCTCTGGGACAACTTCAAGCCTACCAACATTCACATTATGGGGGTGCCCGAAGAGAAGAGAGAGAGCAAGATATTGAAAATCTATTTGAAGAAATAATGACAGAAAACTTCCCCTACCTGGCAAAAGAAATAGACTTACAAGTCCAGGAAGTGCAGAGAGTCCCAAACAAGAGAAACTCAAAGAGACCCACACAAGACACATCATAATTAAAATGCCAAAGGTTAAAGACAAAGAGAGAATCTTCAAAGCAGCAAGAGAAAAGCAGCTAGTTGCATATGTACAAGGGAGCGTGGATAGGACTGTCAGCTGATTTCTCAACAGAAACTTTGCAGGCCAGAAGGGAGTGGCAAGAAATATTCAAAGTGATGAATGCCAAGGACCTACAACCAAGATTACTCTACCCAACAAAGCTATCATTTATTATTTACTTTTAGAATAGCTTTACAGGCCATAGTTAGAGAATTTCAACTAAAAAGAATCTTTGTCTTTCTTTTTACACACAACAACCTACAGGGTTGCTTCTTCCAAAGCTATCATTTAGAATTGAAGGTCAGATAAGAAGCTTCACTGACAAGAAAAAGCTAATGGAGTTTATCACCACCAAACCAGTATTTCATGAAATGCTGAAGGATATTCTTCAAGAAGAGGAAGAAGGAGAAAATATGAACAATAAAATGGCAGTAAATACGTATCTGTCAACAATTGAATCTAAAAATAAAAATAAAGAACAAGAAATCTAATGAACAAAATAAACGGATAAATAAAATGGAATCAGAAGTATGGAAACATGGAACAGACTGAGGAATCTCAGCGGGAAGGGTGGAGGGGGGCGCAGGAAGAGATTAACATTGCCTATGGACACAGACAATAGGGTGGTGAATGCCTGGTGTGGGGTGGGAACCAGGTGGAGGGGGGCAATGCGGGGGAAGGATGGGGGACATGTGGAATATTTGGAACAATAAAAATAAAAAGAAAGTACAGATTGGTAGTTAAAGTAGTCACGAGAATGTAAAGTACAGCATAAGGACTACAGTGAATAATATTGTAATAACTGCACTGTCAGGTGGGTACTAGACTTATGAGAGATCATTTCATAAGTTATATACATGTCTAACCACCTGAAACTAATATAATATTAAATGTCAACTATTTTTTAAAAAGGCGAAGGATTTATGCGATCTGAAGAGAAACCAGATCGGAAAAAAAAAGTGCAAGTTTATTCCTTTTGATTGGGAGGTTCAGTGGAAAGGATCAGCACCCTGAGAAGGCTCCTTTCCGTGTCTCTCCCTTCATTCCCGAAGTTCCTCTTTCAACCAAGCGGAGCTCAGAGGCCTCCGGAGGCGCCCCCAGCCCGGCCGCACGCAGTTCTCCCTCCTGCCAGCGCGGCGCCCGCGGCAGCTTGGGGCTGGCTCCGGTGGGCGGGGCAGGGTGGGAATAGGCGGGGCAGTGAGTAGAGCGGCCAATGGGAGCCAAGGCCGTGGGCGGGGCCGCGGAGGCTGCGCGCGGGCTTCTGGGCCGCCCCCTGTGCTCAGCCGCTTTTCCTTCAGCTTCCGGGCAGCCGCTGGCGTCTGCCACCTGGTGAGGCCCTGGGCAGGCTGGTGCGCAGGACCGGCGCCGCTGGTAAGTTCCTGGCCGCAGCGCGTGCTTCGGGCTCCCCTCCTCCGGCCCGGCCCCTTTCCCGCGGCGCCGGGCACCCGCCGGCGCTGCCCTTCGGGACGGCCGGGGCTAGGGCTGGGGCTGGGGTTGGGACTGTGGTCGGGACTGCGGTTCCGGAGAGCCGGCGCTGCCTCTACCCTGCGGTGCGCGTGCAGGTCCGGTTCGCTGGCGGTCGGGAAGGGTTCCTCGGAGTGCGGAGCGCCGGCTCCCCCCCTCATCACTCGGCGGTGTGGGGTGACTCCAGCGCCCGCGTCGCCGAGATCCAGGTGTGCGATCCGCCCGGCATCGCTGTCCCGCAGTGCGCTTCGCCTCCTCCGCGTCCCTCCCACTCGTGCTTCATTCAGGGTGCCAGGCGGCACCGCGGCTTCTGCTCCGGGAAAGGGCTCGCTGCATTTTGAACTGCCCCGCGACACGCCGGGTTGGCTTATGTTCGCAAGGACCGGTCGAATTGATGTGCTTGGGAAGGTAACGGAGCTCTGGATGTCAGCGTCTTTCTGGGTGTAAGTAATTTAATGGAAAGCAGTTGCGATGGTCAGCCTTGTTCCTGCGCAAGAATAGCAAAACAATGTTGCGACTGCCGGCACATTCTAGATTCATCCTCACCAAGTAGTGAGAAAAGTGGAAAGAAAAGTGGTCTTTGCTTTGTGGCTGCCAAGTCTTGTGGCCATGGGATCAGGTAATTCATGTGAAATGATACGTAGTTTTCTTTTTATTTATTGGGGTGACCTGAAACACATAGGTTTCAGGTGTGGGTTTCTATGTTACAAGATCTGTATATTGCACTGTGTGCCCACCACCCAAAGTCATATGAGATAGTTTCTAACATTCCTTTCAAATCTCACATTTATAAGTCTGTGATGAGCTTATTTTTCATCCTATACCCTTAAAAAGAATAGGAAATAGGAAAAGTTCATGCAAGGCGGGGAATAAAGGTTTATAAACGCACTGAACTTTCAAGACTGTGATTACAATTTAGGACTGCAGAATGAAAAGGGAACACAAATAAAATAGAAAAAACTTATCCAGAATTAATGATGTTAGAGAAACTTGGGAAGCTTTCAGAAGTTCCAGTAGCAATTACTGTATTTAATTACCTCTCTTTGCAGCTGTACAAATATGGTGAGGAGAAAAATAAGTGCTAAGTAAGAAAAAAATATAATTCAGAGGTTATGTAACAACATATTTAGTGTGGGGAGAATCCTTTGAAGTTCATAATTTGTATAGACATTTGCACTCAGGAAACACTTTTTAAAAGAATTTTATATTCTTTATTTTGGAGAGGAAGGGAGAGGGAGATAGAAATAGAAACATCAATGATGAGAGAAAATCATTGATCGTCTGCCTCCTGCAAGTCCCCTACTGGGGATCGAACCCGCAACCCGGGTGTGTGCCCTTGGCAGGAATCGAACCAGGGACCCTTCAGTCCACAGGCTGAAGCTCTATCCACTGAGCAACCCGGCTAGAGCCAGGAAACACTTTAAAAAAAAAGAGAGAATTTTGTATTTCTCCTGCAAGAAAATATTACATTTATTATGAATATTCAGAATTCCCTACCCTGCTTATGCTTATGTTTGAGGACTTTGTAGTTGTGTGACTAGGGAAAGTCATGTTTCCTCTCTGAGACTATTTCAATTGTGAAATGAGGCTAATGATACCTATTTCATGGAGTTGTGATAATTAAATAAAATCCTTTAAGTGGAAAAGGTACAGCAATGCCTGACATATCAAATAGTCAATAATGGCATCTACCGTTATTTGTATTGTGTTCAGAAGGAGTAAAGAAGACCTTTACTGCCTTCTGTGGTCTCTGGCTGTTAACTCAGGCTAGACTCTAGAGCAGCCGTGGGCAAACTACGGCCCTCGGGCCGGATCCGGCCCGTTTGAAATGAATAAAACTAAAAAAAAAAAAAAAAGACCGTATCCTTTTATGTAATGATGTTTACTTTGAATTTATATTAGTTCACACCAGCACTCCATCCATGCTTTTGTTCCGGCCCTCTGGTCCAGTTTAAGAACCCATTGTGGCCCTCGAGTCAAAAAGTTTGCCCACCCCTGCTCTAGAGGGTATATCTAAAGAGAAATGCAAAGGGGGCACTGACCGACAGCCACTGCTGTCTGTACCTGACACTGGAATTTTTACCAAGTTATAATCCCTTCCAAACACTAGTGATTGCTAAGGACACATGAGTCTCTCTGCTTGTGTTGGCCTGTCAGTCATGGCACTTCATTAGGATTGTGATTTTCCCCAACAATTATACTAGGAAGTTCAGGAACGGGTGTGAGAAGAACCCCTCCAAAAGGAACTCAAAAGACAAAGAATTGGTTTTGTTTACTCAGCAGAGATTTCAGCCTAAAATAAGCCCTGTTGCAGCTGGCTGTGGTCAGTATGGCTTACTGAATATTCCAGTCTTTGCTAGAACCTTTTCTTGGATGTTTGACCAACTACTGATGTTCTCTGGTTGTTATTTAAGCCAAATTCTTCTTAACAAACATTAACTTGGGAAGGCACAGTAATCTTAACTGCTCAGGGATCTAGTCTTAGCATTCAGAAAGGAAAGGAGAAGAACTCAAAAGTTTTTTCCCCTCGCTTCCTAGCTAATTTTTAAAAATTGTAATTGAACAGGAAGTATTTTCTTACAGTTTAATTCGGGATGCAGGAGTTGACATCATTTGTGGAAGACATGTTTATTGTGGTGGTACATCTGAATAGGAACTAATGGGTAGGTACACCATCCCACATGATTTAAAACCATGGGGAGGCAACTCCACAATAATTTGAGCTCTAGTTGAGTATTTACAGATGAGAATAACTCAGAAATTCTGGGTTGTGATCTAACTAAAAGTTAATATAAAAACCAACAGAAGCCAAATCTCATTAAAACTAAACTAGCAAAACAAAAAGTAGTGGCAGGAAACCAGGAAGTTAGTTAGATGGCATGAGGTCATATGACAATGTCGCCTTTGATAAATGTTTTGTTTTTAAGTTAGAAGTTAGTGTAATCCCATTTCCCATAAATTTTTGCTGACATTTTAGAGGATATCTTTTGTGTATATACGTATGCGTGTTTATGTCCATATAAATGGCATAGACACACATACTATATTCATTGTAGAAAAAATTGTTACTTAATAAGATGAATAAAAATAATGAACTAACCCTAGCCGATTTGGCTCAGTGTCAGACAGCCTGCAGACTGAAGGGTCCCAGGTTCGCTTCTGGTCAAGGGCACATGCCTGAGTTGTGGACTCAATCCCCAGTAGGGGCCTGTCAATGATTCCTTCTCATCATTGATCTCTCTCTCTCTCTCTCTCCCCCTCCTCCCTTCTCTGAAATCAATAAAAAATATATATATAAAAAGAGAATGAACTATATTGTTATCTTTGAGGATTAAATACTTAAAACAGGAATTTAAGTGATAAGTATTCCAACATCTGAATTGGCCATAATATATTTACCCACTGATTTTCAGTAACAACATAGATGCTTGGGATGTTCCTGAGATCCTCATTCTGTTGATGGGGCCCTGGTGTCTGCATTTTTAAGAAGCTTCACAACCAGGTTAGGAACTACTGATGAGGAATCCTCTATATTCCACACAGATGCTTGATGTATATGCAGTATCACACTAAGAAAATAATCATATGGAGGTTAGGGAAGGGGGTGATGGGGAGCAACTGCTTAATAGTTATCCTGTGGAGTGATGAAATTTTTTGGAACTGGATAAAGGTAGTGGTTGCACAACATTTTGAATAAAGTAAGTGCCACTGAAGTGTTTGCTAAGATGGTTTATTTTATAGTATGTGGCTTTCACCTCAGTACAAGTACCCTGAAAAAAGAATCATATGAACACTATCTTTGTTGTTGTTAGAAAATAAATTATCCCTGTTTAGATTGACTACCTTCTGACTATTATTTTCTCTTAGGCTTTTCTCTTAAATTAAGCACATTTGTGTTTATAAGATGCATCTTATCAGTAGTACCTTTTGAAGCCTAGTAATATTTTCTCATTAATTAAAATGCCATCACTCCTCCTTTCGTGTACAGCCTCAGGTGGCAGCAGGAAGAATTCTGCACTTGGAAGCAAAACTCTTGGAGTTGGAAGCCCAGCTCTGTCCCCATCAGCTGAGACTTGCCTTCCTGGTCACTTTTTCGGTCCTCCTATCCCAAATTTGTTGGGGGAATCCACTGAAATTTATACTGAACTTTCTATATGTCATTGTTATATAGTTATCATTTTTAATTGATTTTTGAGAGAGAGAGAGAGAGAGAAGGAGAGAGAGACATCAATTGGTTATCCCACTTACATATGCATTCATTGGTTGTTTCTTGTATGTGTCCTGATAGGGGATCGAACCCACAACTTTGGAATTCAGGACAACCTGTAATCAACTGAGCTACCTGGCCAGCGCATGTAGTTATCATTTTGCTTTTTAACTTGGAGTCAGCAAAATCCAACAGTGGGTTAAGGAAGGTACTGCTGGACAGTAAATGAATTATTGGACAGTCTGTAACTTAGTGTTAATCATTATATTAGTTATGAATTTATTAAGGCTAAGTACAGATACTATTAAATGTTTTCAAGGATAACAGGGAGATGAATTTTCAAAGACGTGGCTTGTTCTTAGTACTGCAATACATAAATCATATGATGCTTTTCTAGTTCCATGCTTAGGAGGCCATCTGCCTAATTCATTTGTAACTATTCCGAATTTGCTTAATGTCCATAAATGAGGAATAGCTATTGGTAGATCTATTTAGAGACCCCTTTGGGTTCCTTTTGTTTTCTCTTAGTTTAAGGAAGCCACTTGACTTTGTTGAGAACTGACAATCTTGTCAATAGTGACTAATGGTAGGCTTCTCCTGGGAAATGTCTAAAACATTCAAAGTAGAAACATTGGGCATATTGCTGGCCAGTAATGACTCTAGTAAGTAGAAGTTTTATTTTAAACCAGCAATAATGATTTTTGATAGTATATACACAAAAGTGTGTTAACTTGCATGTATTTCTGGTTAATGGACATGAGGCCATATTTACCAACTTCATTGTATAAAACTACAGAACATATAATGAATGTGACAGGCATGTGAATGTATGTCTCAGTGGACCAGGATCTATTACAGGAAAGGAGGATGAAAGCAGGTGTTTATTTAGTGTCTTTGTGCTAGTTTTTTTTTTTTTTAAATTTATCCCCACAATAGGTCTGAAAGCTAGATATTTTACTTAGCTTAGTGAATAAAAGTATGGGCTTTACCCCTAATAGGTTTTGTTGGCTGCTGTGATGATGATGATGATGTTGTTGTTAATGAAGAAAAAACATAGAGGTTAACAGGAACTTCCCTTGAAAGGAAGGAAGTGGTGAGGCTCTGACCCCAGAGTCTGCCTTTTTCCTTCACACCAAGCTGCCTCCCAGCTATTATATACTAAAAGGCCTTCCTTCCCCTGGTTGCTGGCACTGGCTTCCCTCCGGAACCCGGGACCTGGGCTGCTTCGCTCCAGCTGCTGCCGCCACCCACCGGGACCCAGGCTGCTTTGCTCCTGCCACTGCCAGGCACCCAGGACCTGGGCTGCTTTGCTCCAGCTGCCACCAGGCACCCAGGACCTGGGCTGCTTTGCTCCAGCTGCCGCCAGGCATCTGGGACCTGGGCTGCTTTGCTCCAGCTGCCGCCAGGCATCTGGGACCTGGGCTGCTTTACTCCAGCTGCCACCAGGCATCTGGGACCCGGGCTGCTTTGCTCCGGGCTGCTGCCACCACCCACCGGGGGTGTGCTCCAAGCCGTGCCGAGGCAGCTCAGAGCACGCCTCCACCCCTGGTGTGTGTCCGCTGGGGTGGGGGTGGCACGCAGTCCCCTCTCGCCCATCTGCACTCGCAGCTCCTCCTGAGTGGTCGTAAATGCAGCCTCCTCCTGAGCTGGTCGTGACGCCTGGCTATTTGCATATTACCTGTTTATATATATAGATGGGTAAGAGAACAGAGCTGACAGTGTAAACTAGAAGTATATTTTGGTAATTTTAAGTAATTGTCATTATACCTGTGACACTGAACTGCAGCACTTTTTTTCTCCTCCAGTGCCCCTGAGGGACTTCAGTGGCTCCCAGGAGGGACTCACAAAGACAGTGACAAATAGCAAATATTGAAGAACAGAAAATAGACTACCCAGAAAATAGCCTCCATTGTACTACACTGAATGCATATACACATATCAAGATATCAGTATATTGGGTTACTTAAGGCCTGAATGAGAATTAGGCAACTGATAAAGTGAGAATAGTAGTTGCTGATTTGGAGTTTAGTGGATAGGGGTGCTTTGCTTTATTGAGGCAAGGTTCCTATCACAGACTCGTTGGGAATTGTTGCAGGAGAGTTTCAGTGATAACATCTGACAGTGCTCTCCAACTCAAACACAAGTTTAAAGAAGAAACTGCCTGTGTGAGAAATTCCAACTTTGAAACGGCTTCCATTTGTTCCCAGGAAAGATCCTGTTGGAGGCTGTTTCTGTGAATCAAAGGAGAAGGACAGGTGTGAGCATGTCGGCCCTCAACTGGAAGCCCTTTGTGTATGGAGGGTTGGCCTCCATCACAGCTGAATGCGGTAAGGAGCCCAGGGGCTGGAGTCAGGTCAATTCACCTGCTGTATGTGACAGTGATTTTAAAACCTAAGTTCGCAATTGGTGTTTGATCTGAATATAGTTCAAGCATAGAATATGGGGTTATGACTATTAATCTAGAATTCAAAATGTCCTACTTTTGGTATGCTTTTTTAGACAAATAGTCATTTGGCAACTTACTGGCAGTTTAGAGTTCAAAGTTTAGTGGGGAGAAAGTTAAACTGTTGAACAAATAAGTTTTATGAATCATTTTTGAATTACGTCAGTCCCTATTTTCCTTGTATGTTCCTTACTTTGCCCCCACCCTTAACACATTTGGCTGTAAAGAAGTTTGAGGAGCACCTGGCTGGTGTGGTTTAGGTGGTTGAGCGTCGACCTATGAACCAGGAGATCATAGTTCAATTCCTGGTCCAGGCACATGCCCAGGTTGCGGGCTTGGTCCCCTGTGTGGGGCCTTTAGGAGGCAGCCAATTGATGATTCTCTCTCATCATTGGTGTCTCTCTCTCTCTCCTCCCTCCCTCTCCTTCCCTCCCTCCCCCCTTTCTCCCTTCCTCTCTGATATCAATAAGACATATTAAAAAAAAAAAAAAAAGAGTTCGAGGAGCTCCAAGGCCTTCCCGAGCCAGATTCGATTTCCTGTCGTTATGCCATCACTTCCTGAATATGCACATGATCCAGATCCTGTTTGTGACTTCTTTTTTTTTTTTTTTAAATATATATTTTTTAATATATTTTATTGATTTTTTACAGAGAGGAAGGGAGAGAGATAGAGAGTTAGAAACATCGATGAGAGAGAAACATCGATCAGCTGCCTCCTGCACATCTCCCACCGGGGATGTGCCCGCAACCCAGGTACATGCCCTTGACCGGAATCGAACCTGGGACCCTTCAGTCCGCAGGCCGATGCTCTATCCACTGAGCCAAACCGGTTTCGGCATTTGTGACTTCTTCACATTAGTTGAGTTCCACAGCAGGGCCTGTTTATTCCTGTGTTTATTCCCTAGAATCATTCAGTCAACAAATTTTTTTATTTGCGGAGGGGGGGTGGGGGGTGGTGTGCTTTCTGGTAAAAGCCGGAAGACCTGCTGGACAAATTCTAAAAGAGCTGTAAGCACTCTATCAACAAATATTGATTGAACAGCTGCTGAGTGCCAGGTGCTGGGCTGGACACTTCATTTGCTTCCAGGGCTCAGTCACTGCTGTTCTGGGATGAAGGTCTGCCCCTGAGGGGCCAGTGAGGACCAGTGCCCAGGGGTTGAGGTGCATTAACCCCTACCCATGCCGGTGGGCTCTCCCATTGACATAATACATCACATTTACTGAGTATGAGTTTCACATGTTTGGGTGAACTATCTGTTAGGCATTATATTAAACTTTTTACTCTAACAGATTTACTTTTAGACTATAGAACATAGAGTGAGGAACCTGAAATCTAGGTATGTGCCCTGACTGGGAATCACACCTGCAACTTTTTTTGTGTACAGAATGATGCTCAACCAACTGAGCCACCCAGACAGCCAAAATAACTTATATTTAAAAATGGATTTCTTGGTTACCTAAATCATTCCATCTATCTACTTTTTAGCAATGTAGTTTCCTCAAATCCTATGTAGAATAAGATAGAACATAAATAAAAATGTTAAAAGAGGAAAATATATCTATGTCTTTTAAAAGAAATCTTTTTTAAAAAAATATATATTTTATTGATTTTTTTGCAGAGAGGAAGGGAGAGGGATAGAGAGTTAGAAACATCGATGAGAGAGAAACATCAATCAGCTGCCTCCTGCACACCTCCTACTGGGGATGTGCCTGCAACCAAGGTACATGCCCTTGACTGGAATCAAACCTGGGACCTTTCAGTCTGTAGGCCGACCCTCTATCCACTGAGCCAAACCGGTTAGGGCTAAAAAAAAATCTTTTGGTTCCCATTTTCTAATAGGAAAAAGATTGCAAAGATCTGTTTCTGTTTTTTTTTTGTTGTGGTTGTTGTTTTAATATATATTTATTGGGTTTTTTACAGAGAAGGGGAGAGGGGATAGAGTGTCAAGAAACATCAATGACAGAAGAAACATCGAATCAGCTGCCTCCTGCACACTCCTCACTGGGGATGTGCCCGCAACCAAGGTACATGCCCTTGACCGGAATCAAACCTGGGACCCTTCAGTCCGCAGGCCGACGCTCTATCCACTGAGCCAAACTGGTCAGGGCTGTTTCTGTTTTAGTTTACATCATAGTCTAAATGTCTCTTTAGTAATATGTCACTATGTATCCTTTACTTAGTGGACTTTCTTTTAATTAAGTGAAAATATTTCTTTCTTTAAAATTTTAAGGTACATTTCCAATTGATTTAACCAAGACACGGCTCCAGATTCAAGGCCAGACAAATGATGCAAACTTTAAAGAAATTCGGTATCGAGGAATGTTGCATGCATTAGTGAGGATAGGCAGAGAAGAAGGCCTGAAAGCTTTGTATTCTGGGTAAGTGACCTTTGTATATTTATATTCTACTGCTGACCTTTCAAATGAAACTTTTTCAGACTAAGACCTCATAGAGAAAAAGTAAAAGTTTGAGGTGTATTTTTAAAAAGCAAGTAACATGGTAGGTTTTTCATTTCTAATGTCAACTTTATTGTATTTTACATAGAGAAAGTTGTGGTGAAACTATGTTTTTATTATACTAAAATATAGATAATCTAAAATTACATTTGTTGTAAAAAAAATCCTGTAATTTAGTTTTTTACTCTGAAAATAGCCCTTTCCCATGGCTATTATGAATTACCAAGATTTTTGCCATAATGAAAATGGTATCGTATTTCCATGGGAAAGAGTTGTTAGTGAACTACTTTTCTTTAATCTAATATTTAATTAACAGTGTGCAGTAGGCACTAGATAAGAAAATGAGTAAGACAGAGTAGGGTCCTGCCTATGTCAGAGTCCCTGCAAGAAACAGAATTCATTTGGGTGGTTTAAATGAAGAGAGTTTAATGAAGGGACCATTTAAGGGTTAAGGGAGCAAGTGAAGGATATTGAGATACCTAAAAACTAGCAAAGGGGGAGATTGTTACCAACCCTAGGATGGGAATAGTTTGGCAGAGACTACCATGGCTGGAGCCTTGAAGGAATAAACAGTTGTCAAGGGGTGTTTTGGTGGTGCCCAGATTGAAGAAGTACCTCTGCTTCTTTCTCCTCCCTCCCTCCCACCTTTTGTGGCTGAATCCACCTGAAAGTCAGCTAGCAGAGGGGACTAGGTGATCCTGTCTGGGCACAGAGCAGAACAGAGATGGATAAGAATGGATCTGGGAGGACAAATAGGGATCAGAAGTGGCACATTGTCCTGAAGGAACTGTCATTTACTGGGCTGCAGATGACACTCAGGGGATTACAGTGGAGTCTGGTAAGTACTAGAGCAGGGGTGGGCAAACTTTTTGACTCGAGGGCCACAATGGGTTCTTAAACTGGACCGGAGGGCCGGAACAAAAGCATGGATGGAGTGTTTGTGTGAACTAATATAAATTCAAAGTAAACATCATTACATAAAAGGGTATGGTCTTTTTTTTTTTTAGTTTTATTCATTTCAAATGGGCCGAATCCGGCCCGCGGGCCGTAGTTTGCCCACGACTGTACTAGAGTCTGGTAGAGGTATCAGCCCCAGACTGTTGGATAAGGATGAAGAACATTTTCAGGAAAGCTGCTCAATTCAGAAGGCACCAGCTCTTTCCTTAAAGGATCAAGAAGAGTTAGCTAGGTGAAGTTAGAAACTATGCTCCTACAGAACCAGTAATAAGTGCAAGAGAGCATAGTACACCTAGAAATGCAAGTAGTTCAGCATGGATTTTGCGTAGGAGTTGGTGAATAGTAAAAGGTGCAGATGGAGAGCTAATAAGGGGTTAAGACATGGACAACCTCAGGCCATGCTAAGCACCTTGATATTGTCCCATATACCACCAGAGTGGTGCCTCAGAGCCCTCCCACCCACCAGTCTCTGAAGGATTTTGCTTTTCAACTGAGCCAATACTTTAAATATGAGAAACTGCACATAAAAATCTGAGATTCCATTTTCTCAAGAGAAATCAACATTGGGCCCACATTCATTCACTTATGATAATAGTAACTGCATTTAACAGTGCTTTCTCTGATTTTCCAAAACCTCTGCCACTCACATAGTGTGTGTGTGCAGTTAGATCCAGCCCACTTTTATCAGTACAGCTTCTATCTAGTGCCTGTAAATACTTGAATTTTTTTAAAAAAAATATTGATTTCAGAGAGGAAGGCAGAGGGAGAGAGAGAGAGAAACATCAATCATGAGAATCATTGATCGGCTGTCTCCTGCACGTCCCCTGCTGGGGTTAGAGCCCACAATCCTGGCATGTGCCCTCGACTGGAATCTAACCTGAGACCCTTTGGTCCACAGGCTGACGGTCTATCCACTGAGCCAAAGCAGCTAGGGCAGTACTTGAATTTTCTACACTTGTGGCCGAGAGGAGCCACTGAAGGGTTTCAAGTAGAGGAACTACGATAATTAAGTTTCATTGTTAAAAAAAATGCCTGCCTGCCGTGTGGAGAAAGAATTAGAGACTTGTAACACTGGAAGCAGGCAGTCACATAGGAAGCAGAGACAAGGATCTGCCTGGGGTGTTTGTTTTGGGGATGGAGAAAAAGAAGACAGTTTAGAAAGCTAGTTAGGGCATAGGATTGACATATTGTTTGACCTAATATATGAGGGGGTTTGTGGAGGAGTAGGAATCAAAGCTAATATCTTAATTTCTGGTTTTGGCCATTGTCTAGGATACAGAGAGGAGAGGTGATTGTTTAGACAGGGAAGATAATTAATGCAGTGTGGGTTACCTGATTGGAGGTAGGTATAGTACGTGTGAATTGACAAATTAGGAAGAAGTTGGAAATGTATCTTTGGATCCATGTTGGAAACATGAATTTAAGAGTGGTCAGGTGAAGCAATGGCAATAGCTGAGCTCACCCAGGCAGTGTGTGGAGCAAGGGGAAATGAAAGCATAGGACAGATTCCGGGAAACCCCAGAGGACAGCGGTAGGATGCTGTATACTCTACATTGTACAGGAAAGAAAAGAAATGGGAGAGGGCGATGTTGTGGCAACTCAGGGAGGAGACAGCTGCAAGTAAGACAGAGCGGAGTAGCAAATACTGCAAGATGTTATGTAAGATGCTAATTGAAAAGCATCATTTAATTTAGCAACACAGATGTCGGTTGGCCACCTGTTTTGATGGAGAAGGTGGAAGGAAGCCAGATTGCAATTCGAGAAGGAAGTGGGAAGTGCTGAGAGCTTGGAGTACAAATGCCACAGGTGGTTCTGGGGTCAGGGAGGGAGAGGAAAAAGCTGAAACAGGGCCCCCCCAAGGAGGTAGGAGGTGGGCTCCAGAGCATCAACGCAAGAACGATAGATGCTTCCAGAGGCCAGATTTCATTAGGTGCACTGTACTGAGAAAGCAAAGCCTTTTTTCATTTTAACATGAATGGGCAAATAGAACCACATGTTCACTTATGGTTTCATTGATAATAAATATGAGGGGCTGAGTTTTCACTTAGTGAGATAATAATTTGCTCAGGTATTTATAACCTTTTTGGATTATACTTATATATTTTTTAAAACTATGTTGCCCAGCTGGTGTGGCTCAGTGGTTGAACGTTGACCCATGAAACCAGGAGGTCACAGTTCGATTCCTGGTCAGGGCACATGCCTGGGTTGGGGGCTTGATCCCAGAATGGGGGCGTGCAGGAGGCAGCCAATCAATGATTCTCATCATTGATATTTCTATCTTTCCCTCTTCCTTTTTCTCTCTGAAATCAATAAAAAACAATTTAAAAAAACCCAAGTTTTTGTTGGATTTTTAATTTTAAGATACCTGTTTTGTGTAGTTTGTAGAAGACAAATGGGTGATTGTATCTCTGCCTGTGGTTCTTCTAGAAGATTGTATGTGATTTTTAAAATTTTCTTGTCCCTTTGTACTTGGTTTGACAGGATTGCCCCTGCGATGTTACGCCAGGCTTCCTATGGCACCATCAAGATAGGCACTTACCAGAGCTTGAAGCGATTATTTGTGGAACGCCCAGAAGGTCAGTGGAGAATCTTTTTTCCACTTGTAGGCAGGAGGTTGTCTTTTTATTCAAGTGATTTTGTATTAGATTTTCTTTGACTTACTTGTGACTTTACTGCTCTGAGGAGAGCTCTAGGTGTGAAGTCTAAATGAATTGTGCTTACAGCAAGTCAGTTATCAACTGAATTTAGGGGATTAAAAGTTAAAAAGAGCAAAATGCTTAGACTAGAGCATATGTTATCGTTCTAGGCAATGCAGAATTTCCTAAAATCATAGGAATTATCACCTGTATTTCATAAAAGCAGTGACTACATTTCTTAGTATTAAGAACTGAGTTCTAATACTCCATTAGAAGTATTAGAACTGTTGAATCTGTGACGGCTTTAATCCATAGAACCTTACTTGTTTTTACAAAGGGGCAAGCTCCAGCTAGCTGTTACATGAGAGTGGTGAACAGGAGCTAAGATGCCTTGAAAGTGCTTCATTATAATTTACATTAAATATATAAGATGTGCTTTAAAACTTTGTCACCATGTTATCTCATAGGAGTATTCCTCTTTTATTCTCCTACCAGACATACCTCGTCTAAATTACTATTATGATCTGCATTTACACACAAAAGTGAATTGGTAGATGGTTATTTACTTTGTGAGATAATTCACATTCCTTTTCAGATTGCAAGAAACTTTGCTAAGTAAAATCCCTTTAGCCAGCAAAATTCCTAATCCTTTTGAAATTACTTGATTCATAAGGTCTAAATTTCTTTATTCTCTTAAGAACAAATGGTATGTAAATGAATTACACCTGCATTTGAGGTATTCACATGAAGAGCTCTGTATATATGAAAAGTCAGATAATGTCTTTGTTTGCAGATGAAACCCTTCTGATAAATGTGGTCTGTGGAATTCTCTCTGGAGTCATGTCCTCAGCCATTGCCAATCCAACTGATGTTTTGAAAGTAAGCAGTGCTTTTTATATCTCTAGATACAATCTACATTTTCTTACTGAGAACAAGATACAGATAATGAAAATCTGTGAATATAACATACACTGACTCTGTTTATAATTTAAGTGTTGTGAAAACTAACTTATAAATATCCACTAGGTAGGTTTCCCATTGATACGAAAGTAGAGCTCATTTTAGAGATGAGTATTTTGACAATTAAGCAGAAAAAAATTTAGGTTTGGATCCATTTGAATTTTTCATTGAAAATCTCCCTTGTTTTATTGGTTCATTAAAAAGTAGATGGGCTTCAAATTTTACAGAAGTCTGCTTATTAATGACCATTTCTAAATGCATTTTTAGGTTAATTCAGTTTCTGGAAATATTTACTTAACCACAGTTAGACATACCAGATGACCTTGTTGACAATCCTAGGGATTACAACCTTCTTAAATCCTGTTTGGAATAAGGCAAGGGGATAAACTCATTAAAGAAAATAAAAATTAGTTGTGAGTTACTTTTTGAAACCTCTCATATATTCCTCTTTCTCCCTCCCTTTCCTTTTTGCCCAAATTATTTAACCAGAATTCACTATGCTTCTACCTTGGACCAGTTGGAGTACTTTTAGTGTTGAGAATCCAAAAATTAGTAAGACAAAAGCCCTGCCCTGAGAGAGCCTTCAGTCTGATAGGAGATTCTGACAAGCATCAAAACTTCATGCAGCAGCATGTTGAGAACACTACAGTTATGCACAGTGAAGGTACAATGTGTGCAGGCACTCTTACCATAATTTTACCCAGTGTTGATGCAAGATTGCTGGAGAAAAATATCCATACTTCCTTTAATCTCTAAGCCATATATCAGGGTTACAAAAAGGCAGTTCCTGTATTTTGGTTTATTTTCACATGTTAGCATGGCAATAACAGTTCCTTTTAAGAAGTTAGAGGTAATGTATTTGCTCCCTAAACCAAAATAAGGTACACATTTTTTTAGTGAGAAATATCTTTTAATTCTTAAAAATACAGAGCTACATCCAGCATGTTATGTTGGAATATTGGTCATGTGAGTACTGTGGCCCTTGTAAAGTTAATTTGTAAGTTCAGGTGTAACCGTGTGTGACGGGCATCATGTGGCTGTCCCGGGGCTAACTCGCCGGCTTGCCTTTTGATTCAGCTGGTTGGAAATAGCAGGGAGTTGGAGTGACTAAGAAATATGCTCGTTCATGCTTAGTGTTGCCAGGTATTACTGGATACTCTTACTAGTAATGTTAAATTTTTAGAATTACCATCCTATTCTCTCTTTCCTATTTAGAACCTATAGGGAAAAATGCCATTTTCTTTCCTTTTTCAAGACTATTTAAAAAATTTAATTTCTTTTTGACACTTAGTGAGCTATTATATGCAAGACGTTCTAGACTCTGTTAGATGCTTTTTGTTGAATCCAAAGTGCCTAAGAACCAATCCGTATATATTTTAGTTTACTGAGAATATTTAAGCCAGCATTATAGTAATAGTTATAATTATAGTTTTTTTTTCTTGTAATGGTTGCTAAACAACAGACTGAATGATTTTTCAGGGATCTATATTTGGGGAGAAATGTGCTACCTTCTTTCTCATGTTAGTCTTTAAAATAATTTCTAGATACGGATGCAAGCACAAAACAACACCATTCAAGGAGGAATGATAGGCAACTTCATTAACATTTACCAGCAAGAGGGAACGAGAGGACTATGGAAGGTAAGCTTGAAAATGGATCCAGCTGATTTAGTTCTTCACTTTTTTCCCTTTTTGAGTTTATTTTTCCTATGTCCATCATTTTATTTAATCCAAATGGAATAATGGAGTAAGGGAAGAAGAGTGACATCTGCCCCTGAAGATATTTTATCTGTAAAATGGAAATATAAGGAATATGTCATGATTTGAAAAGTACCTTTTGAATAATTCATAAATAAGAAATTCTGTGAAGATTGAGCACCTTTTTGTTTGCTTTTTTTTAAGTTCTTATAGAGAAGCGGTTTCTGGGTCCCAGATATGTTGAATTTTTTGCCTTGCATGGTTTCATGACTTTTAAGTGAATATTGTTAACTAGTGCTTTAAAAAAAAAAAAAAAAAGATATATATATATATATATATATATATATATATATATTTATTTCAGAGAGGAAGCGAAAGAGAGAGAGAAATAGAAACATCAGTGATGAGAGGGAACCATTGATCGGCTGCCTCCTGCATGCCCCCGATTGGAATTGAACCCGGGACCCTTCAGTCTGCAGGCCGACGCTCAATCCACTGAGCCAAACCAGCCAGGGCACTAGTGCTTTTTAAAATATTCATAGAATAGACCCTAAAGGTCACCCAGTACTATCCTCTCTGTATGTACAAGGAAACTGGAGGCTCTGAGAGGTTATTGTCCTGGCCAAGGTCTGTCCAAGGTCATACAGTTAGTGGCAAAATCAGAATTCAACGTTGGGGTTCCTGACTTTTTACACTCTGGTCTTTTCTACTCTGTATGTATATTTCTACCTGCCAACAGGAGAGATGTCTGAATCCCTATTAATGTTTTTACCCAGGGCGTGTCTCTTACTGCTCAGAGGGCTGCTATCGTTGTTGGCGTGGAGCTACCAGTTTACGACCTCACCAAGAAGCATCTGATTCTCTCAGGCCTGATGGGAGACACTGTGTATACTCACTTCCTGTATGTTTATGGATTTTTAAATTAATATTTTAGGTTTGCATGAGTTTAGGGTGAAAATTTGCTGCAAATTTATAGAAATTTTAAAGCTATTATAAAAATATTATATCCTCATATTTGAAAAATTACAATACAGAAGTGAACCAGGAAAAATTAACAGTCTTATCCCTTTACATAGGTAGGAATTATTAACAGTTTGGTAAGTACCTTCCAGGTATTTTCTATGCATATGCAAATATGTCTACAAAAGTATATTACATGTACTTCATTACACAAATATGCTTTGTATCCCCTTTTTATTATTATTATTATTTTTCATCTTTATTAAGGTAAAATTGACAAGTAAAATTGAAAGGTATTTAAAGTGTTCAACATGATGATTTAATATGTATACATTGTTAAAGAATTTTTCCCATCAACTTAATTAACATATCTGTTACCTGACATGTTTATCCTTTTGTGTTCTTTTGAAAACATTTAAGTTCTATTCTCTTAGCAGATTTCAATTATAAAATGCTGTGTTATCAACTATAGTCCACCATGTTATACGTTAGCTCCTCAGACCTTATTCATCTTATAACTGAAAATTTGTACCCTTTACTGTCTCCCTGTTTTCCCCATCCCCTAGCCACTGGCAACTACTTTTCTACTCTTTGTTTCTATGAGTTGTAGTAGTTCTTTGTTTTTTTAAAAATATATTTTTATTGTTTTCAGAGAGGAAGGGAGAGGGAGAGAGATAGAAACATCATTGATGAGAGAGAATCATTGATCGGCTGCCTCCTGCATGCCCCCTACTGGGGACCAAGCCTGCAACCCAGGCATGTGCCCTGACCCGGAATTGAACCATGATCTCCTGGTTCATAGGTCAATGCTCAACCATTGAGCCATGCCAGCCGGGTGAGTTGGAGTAGTTTTGTTTGTTTTTAGATTTCATGTATAAATGATACTATGCAATATTGCCTCTCTTGCTTTTTAATCCTCACCCAAGAATGTGTGTGTGTGTGTGTGTGTGTGTGTGTATTTTTTTTTTTTTTTTCGAGAGAAACATAGATGTGAAACAATCGATTGGTTGCCTCTTATACTCACCCCAACCTGGAATCTAACCTGAAATCTAGGTATGTGCCCTGCCTGGGAATTGAGCCTACAACCTTTTGGTGTGTGAGACAATGTTCCAACCGACTGAGCCACCTGGCCAGGGCTTTATTTGATTTTTAAAATTTAATAATCTATTCCAAATATCTTTCCATAACAGTACAAACAGACTTCATTTATTTTTAATAGCTGCAGATTAGTATTGGATACATCATAGTTTAATCAACTGAGGAGCGATTTAGCTCATTTGGGACATTTGGCAATTTCTGGCGACTGTTCCAATAGTTATGAGTAGGGAAGTACTATTGGCATCTACTGGGTAGAGGCCAAGGAGCTGCTAAACATCTTAGAACAGACCTACATGACAAAGAATTATTGGTTCAAAATCTTAGTGCTGAAGTTGAGACATGCTGCTCTGAGTTAATTGATACTAAGTGTGGTCTGTGGCAGTCTTGTGAGACTGAAAGTTTAGTAGAACCTGAGCCCCTAGTGGGCATTCCATTGAGGAAATCTTTTTCTCTAATCTTGAAGAAACATATGGTCATGAGATGATTAAAGTTACTCTGATTTCTACTTACAGGTGAATAGATGCAATAGATCAGCAATTTTCAATGGGTGTGCCACAGAATTTTTAAAACATGCAATACCTAACTATTCGGTCAGGGGTACTGACTTCTTTTCCATTAGATTGTCAAATAAAAACATGACAACAGCCAGCACAACATTAGCCATCAGTATGAATGAATCAAAATTATACCCATTTTTGTCAAATCAGCAAAAAAATAAATAAATAAAATTAAATAGTTTTTGGTGTGCCACAGAATTTTAGTAATTAGTTTATATTTGCCATGAGATGAATGAAGTTTAAAATCACTGTAATAGATCATCCTTGGAGAATGTCCCTTCATGTTTCTATGATTCTTTTGACATCTAGAACCTCCGAGATATTCTTAGCCGAGGTTGGAATTTATAAGCCAGTATAATCAGTGCTGGTGTTTAAGAAGTTTGTACAGCCCTGACCGGTTTGGCTCAGTGGATGGAGCGTCAGCCTGTGGACTGAAGGGTCCCAGGTTCGATTCCGGTCAAGGGCATGTACCTTGGTTGTGGGTACATCCCCAGTGGAGGGTGTGCAGGAGGCAGCTGATTGATGTTTCTAACTCTCTATCCCTCTCCCTTCTTCTCTGTAAAAAATCAATAAAATATATTTTTTTTAAAAAAGAAGTTTGTACAGCTCTCTAGATATGGTCCTTATTTTATTTTTTATTTTTAAAAAATACATTTTATTGATTTTTTACAGAGAGGAAGGGAGAGGGATAGAGAGTCAGAAACATCGATGAGAGAGAAACATCGATCAGCTGCCTCCTGCATCCCCACTAATGGGGATATGCCCGCAACCAAGGTACATGCCCTTGACCGGAATCGAACCCGGGACCCTTCAGTCCGCAGGCCAACGCTCTATCCACTGAGCCAAACCGGTTTCGGCAAGGTCCTTATTTTTGATATATTTCACCTTGTTACATGTTACTTTAACATAGTTTGGGAGGAGGCTGTTTCCTGTCTTTGATGGTGGTGGTGACCTTTTTGTTTTTCTAATGGTATCTTTCCTAGCTCAAGCTTCACCTGTGGTCTGGCTGGGGCTCTGGCTTCCAACCCTGTGGATGTTGTGAGGACACGTATGATGAATCAGAGAGTCCTTCGTGATGGCAGATGCTCTGGGTACACAGGTACCCTGGATTGCTTGTTACAGGTGAGAATGTCCATCTGTGTAGAGTTGGGAATTCCTCTTTTAGCTCATTAGCTTCCATCTGGCCCACTTATTACAAGTTTCTTATCATTTTAAAACACAGGGTTTATAGTAAGATAGACCTGTGGATCTGTCACTTGTAATTGTGTGACTTTGGTCAAGATAAAGACTCTATACTTCAGTTTCCTCATAAGTGAAATGGGACAATAATAGCATGTGTATCATAGGGTTATTGTAAAAATAATGCCTACATAAAACAGCATAGTGCCAGAAATAATTTGGTAAGTCTTATTAGTATAATTAATAATAATAAAGGATAGTATTGTGAAATGAGCAAATTTATCCTTCCTATTGAGTCAAACTGGAATGAGTCCCCTTCATTCAGATATCTCACAAAGGAACACATCAATCTTACTGTAATACTTAGTGGACAAAAGTTTGCCAGTGTCTCCCCTACTGGATTGCCAGCAACCAAAGTTTAGGGGGCACTTTTGTGGTTTCCATTTTCTGGCATGATGCTAGACTTTAAGTATTGCTTTAATGAAGCAAAGATACTTGTTTATAATTCATCCAACAACATGAAATAGTGGTGCTCTGAATTCTATCTTTACCACCATTGCTTTGTTTCCTTATGTCTGAGTTGTTTGTGGGCCCAAATGGAAAAGAGGCAAAAGACTCTGGTTGGAATTATTAAATCTCTTTTTATTTTTTCTTTTCTTTTTCTTTTTATTTATTTTTTATTTTTTGCTAAAAGTATTACAAAGGGTATTATATAAGTGTCCTTTTTTCCCCCCCGCCCTTGACAAACCCCTGCCCTCCCTTACCCCCCAGTGTCTTATGTCCATTAGTTATGCTTATATGGATGCATACAAGTCCTTCGGTTGATCTCTTACTCCCCTCCCTCCTGTCCCCCAACCCTCCCTGGCCTTCCCACTGCAGTTTGACAATCAGTTTGAGGCAGCTCTGCCTCTGTATCTATTATTGTTCAAAAGTTTGTAATGGTCTTTATTATCCATGAATGAGTGAGATCATGTGGTATTTTTCCTTCATTGACTGGTTTGTTTCACTTAGCATAATGCTCTCCAGTTCCATCCATGCTGTTGCAAATGGTAAGAGTTCCTTCTTTTTTACAGCAGCATAGTATTCCATCGTGTAGATGTACCACAGTTTTCTAATCCATTCATCTATTGATGGGCACTTAGGCTGTTTCCAGATCCTAGCTATGGTGAATTGTGCTGCTATGAACATAGGGGTGCATATATCCTTTCTGATTGGTGTTTCTGGTTTCTTGGGATATATTCCTAGAAGTGGGATCACAGGGTCAAATGGGAGTTCCATTTCCAATTTTTTGAGGAAACTCCATACTGTCTTCCATAGTGGCTGCACCAGTCTGCATTCCCACCAGCAGTGCACAAGTGTTCCTTTTTCTCCACATCCTCTCCAGCACTTGTCGTTTGTTGATTTGTTGATGATGGCCATTCTGACAGGTGTGAGATGGTATCTCATTGTTGTTTTGATTTGCATCTCTCGGATGATTAGCGACTTTGAGCATGTTTTCATATGTCTCTTGGCTTTCTGAATGTCCTCTTTTGAAAGGTGTCTATTTAGGTCCTTTGCCCATTTTTTGATTGGATTGTTTATCTTCCTTTTGTTAAGTTGTAAGAGTTCCCTATAAATGTTAGAGATTAGGCCCTTATCAGATATACTGTTGGCAAATATGTTCTCCCATGTAGTGGGCTTTCTTGTTGTTTTGTTGATGGTTTCTTTTGCTGTGCAGAAGCTTTTTATTCTGATGTAGTCCCATTTGTTCAGTTTCTCTTTAGTTTCAACTGCCCTAGGAGCTGTATCAGTGAAGAAATTGTTTTGGCATATGTCTGAGATTTTGTTGCCTTTGTATTCTTCTAGAATTTTTATGGTTTCCCGTCGTATATTTAAGTCCTTTATCCATTTTGAGTTTATTCTTGTGTATGGTGTAAGTTGGTGGTCTAGTTTCATTTTCTTGCATATATCTGTCCAATTTTCCCAACACCATTTATTGAAGAGACTATCTTGACTCCATTGTATGTTCTTGCCTCCTTTGTCAAATATTAATTGAGCGTATTGGTTGGGGCTGATTTCTGGGCTCTCTATTCTATTCCATTGATCTATATGTCTGTTCTTGTGCCAGTACCAGGCAGTTTTGAGAACAGTGGCTTTGTAATACAGCTTGATATCTGGTATTGAGATCCCACCTACTTTGTTCTTTTCTCAGGATCGCTGCAGCTATTCGGGGTCGTTTTTTATTCCAGATGAATTTTTGGAGAGTTCGTTCTAGGTCTGTGAAATATGCCGTTGGTATTTTAATGGGAAGTGCGTTGAATTTATAGATTGCTTTGGGCAGTATGGACATTTTAATGATGTTGATTCTACCAATCCAAGAACATGGTATGTTCTTCCATCTCTTTATGTCTTCCTCTATCTCTTTTTTCAACGTCCTGTAGTTTTCTGAGTAGAGGTCTTTTACCTCTTTAGTTAAGTTTATTCCTAGGTAGCTTAATTTTTTTGGTGCGATGGTAAATGGGATTGCTTTTTTAGTCTCTCTTTCTGCAAGTTCACTATTGGTGTATAGAAATGCCATAGATTTTTTGGCATTAATTCTGTATCCTGCCACATTGCCGAATTCTTTTATTAAGTCTAATAGTTTTTTGATGGAGTCTTTAGGGTTTTTTAAGTATAATATCATGTCATCTGCAAATAAGGACAGTTTTACTTCTTCTTTTCCAATTTGGATGCCTTTTATTTCTTCTTCTTGCCTAATTGCAATGGCTAATACTTCCAGGACTATGTTGAACAGGAGTGGTGAGAGTGGGCATCCCTGTCTTGTTCCTGTTCTTAGGGGAAATGGTGTTAGTTTATGTCCATTGAGTATGATGTTGGCTGTGGGTTTGTCATATATGGCTTTATTATGTTGAGGTATGATCCTTCTATTCCCACCTTGCTGAGAGTTTTTATCAAAAATGGGTGTTGGATTTTGTCGAATGCTTTTTCTGCATCAATTGATATGACCATGTGGTTTTTTTCTTTCAATTTGTTTATGTGATGTATTATGTTTATTGATTTACGGATGTTGTACCATCCTTGCATTCCTGGGATAAATCCTACTTGGTCAATGTGTATGATCCTTCTGATGTACTGTTGGATCCGATTTGCTAAGATTTTGTTGAGGATTTTGGCATCTATGTTCATGAGGGATATTGGCCTGTAATTCTCTTTCATTGTGTTGTCTTTACCTGGTTTTGGTATTAGGGTGATGCTGGCTTCATAGAATGAGCTTGGAAGTGTTCCTTCCTTTTGAATTTTTTGTAGTAGTCTGAGGAGGATAGGTTTTAGTTCTTCCTTGAAAGTTTGGTAAAACTCCCCTGAGAAGCCATCTGGTCCTGGGCTTTTGTTTGCTGGAAGCTTTTTGATGACTGCTTCAATTTCTTCCATAGTTATTGGCCTATTGAGATTTTTAGATTCTTCCTGATTGAGTTTTGGAATGTTGTATTTTTCTAGGAATTTGTCTATTTCCTCCAGGTTGTCTAGTTTGTTGGAGTAGAGTTGTCCGTAGTATTGTTTAACAATCATTTGTATTTCTGTGGGGTCTGTTGTTATTTCGCCTCTATCGTTTCTGATTTGGTTTATTTGGGACCTCTCTCTTTGCTTCTTGGTGAGCCTGGCTAGGGGTTTGTCAATCTTGTTTATCCTTTCAAAGAACCAGCTCTTGGTTTCATTGATTTTCTGTATTGTTTTTTTGGTCTCTATTTCATTGATTTCTGCTCTAATCTTTATTATCTCCTTCCTTCTGCTCACTCTGGGGTTTTCTTGTTGCTCTCTTTCTAATTCTTTGAGTTGTAGAGTTAGATGATTGACTACCATTTTTTCTTGTTTTTTGAGGTAGGTGTGTAGAACTATAAACTTCCCTCTCAGGACTGCTTTCATTGTGTCCCATAGGTTTTGGATTGTTGTGTTTTCATTGTCATTAGTGTCCAGGATGTTTTTAATTTCTTCTTTGATGTCATTGGTAACCCAATCAATATTTAATAACATGCTATTCAGCTTCCAAGTGTTTGAGTATTTTGGGTTGTTTTTATCGAAGTTTATTTCTAACATTATGCCATCGTGGTCTGAGAAGATGCTTTTTATGATTTCAATCTTCTTGAATTTGTGGAGACTTTGCTTGTGACCCAATATGTGGTCTATTTTTGAATATGTCCCATGAGCACCTGAGAGGAATGTATATTCCATGGCTTTGGGGTGAAGTGTTCTGAAGATGTCAATTAAGTCCATCTGATCTAGTGAGTCATTTAGGATTGCTGTTTCTTTGCTGATTGTTTGTCTAGCGGATTTATCCAGTGATGTCAGTGGTGTATTAAAGTCCCCTACTATGATTGTATTGTTGTCGATCTCTCCCCTGATATCTTCCAGAAGTTTTCTTATGTATGTGGGTGCTCCTGCATTGGGTGCATATATGTTTATCAGGGTTATATCCTCTTGTTGTATTGATCCCTTTAGTATTATGAAGTGGCCTTCCTTATCTTTTGTTATGGCCTTCACTTTGAGATGTATTTTGTCCGATATAAGTATTGCTACCCCAGCTTTCTTTTCCTTTCCATTTGCCTGAAAGATATTCTTCCATCCCTTCACTTTCAGTCTGTGTGAGTCCCTTCTAATGAGGTGGGTCTCTTGTAGACAGCAGATGTATGGGTCATGTTTTTTTATCCATTCAGCCACTCGATGTCTTTTGGTTGGAGCATTTAGTCCATTTACATTTAAAGTTATTATTGAAAGGTACTTGTTTGTAGCCATTTCTTTTTGTGTGTGTGGCTGTTTTCTTTCTGAGCTTGTTATTTCTTCTTTTTACACCAATCCCTTTAGTATTTCTTGCATGGCTGGCTTGGTGGTGATAAACTCCCTCAGCGTTTTTTTGTCTGTGAAGCTTCTTATTTCCCCTTCAATTTTGAATGATAGCCTTGCTGGATAGAGTATTCTTGGATTCAGTCCTTTGCTTTGCATCACTTTGTAGATTTCCGTCCATTCTTTTCTGGCCTGATGTGTTTCTGTTGAGAAATCATTTGATAATCTAATGGGAGATCCCTTGTATGTAACTTTCTGTCTCTCTCTTGCAGCCTGTAAGATTCTCTCTTTGTCCTGAACATTTGCCATGGTAATTATGATGTGTCTTGGTGTGGGTTTTTTCGGATTCACCTTGTTTGGGACTCTCTGGGCTTGTGTGACTTTTTTCTTCCCCACCTCAGGGAAGTTTTCTGATATTATTTCTTCAAATAGGTTTTCTAATCCATGTTCATCTTTCTGTTGTTCTGGCACCCCTATTATTCGTATGTTGTTTCGTTTCATGTTGTCCCAAAGCTCCCTTAGGCTCTCCTCCTGTCTTTTAATTTTTTTCTCCATTTGTAGTACAGTTTGCGTGTGTTTTGCTTCCGTGTCTTCTAATTCACTAATTCGGTCCTCCGCTTCTCCCAGTCTACTGTTGATACTTTCAATGGTGTTTTTTATTGCAGCTATGTCGCTCTTCATTTCTTCTTGGGACTTACTTAAGTTGTTGATTTTTTTCATCTGTTTCTTCTAGCTTCTTGCATAAGTAGTTGATTTTTTCATCTGTTTCTTCTTGCTTCTTGAACATCTGGTGCATGTACTCTAGGAACCTTATTCTGAATTCTTTTTCCGTCATGTTGCATGTCTCTGTCTCACTTAGCTGCTTTTCTGGCGAGTCCTCCTTTTCTTTCCTTTGGGGGTTTCTTTGTCTACCCATGTTTGATCTCACTGACATATCTAGTTGTTGAGTCGTTCAGTGGCTGGACCCTGGGTGGCAGTGGCTGCTCCCTGGGTGGCAGTGGCTCCTCGGGCTGTGGTTGCTCCTTGGGCGGTTGTGGTAGCAGCGGCTCCTCTGTTGATAGCAGAGCCTCTGGTGGGTGCTGTTCACAGCTGTGGTGGCTCTTCTGGCTGGTGGAGGGAGGCTTCACACACAGCAACTTTTCCCCAGACAGAGCGTGTGGTGATCAGGAGGCCGCTGTTGCTTGAATCTGCTGCGTTAATTTAAAGGCACAAAATACAACACAACAAGGCACAACCTACCAGGCACTAAACACTATTGTATTTACGATATTACTAACCCCAAATAAAGGTGGCCACCCGAGCTAAGAGAGTTGAGAGATAAGGGGGAAAGAAGAGAAAAAGGTAGAAGAGAAAAAAGAAAGAAAGAAAAAAAGGAGTGCAAAAATGAAATTGGGAAAAGGGAGGGGAAAAAGAGGAGGAAAAAAAAAGAGTAAGAGAGAAAAGAGAATGAAGTATAAAAGGGGAAGAG